AAAAAAAAAAACAAGTGTAGGGCGTATCGAGTTTCCTAGCAACACTTCATCGTGTTGGTACCAAAGCCTTCTCAGCCTCTGCAGCCCACTCTCTACCGACGAATAAAAAACGAGATTTTCAGCTATGGTAATTGGAGGATAATCTCATAAGCAACTTACCACCTCTCGTGGTAAAATAATACCACCCTCTATTTTGAGCAAGAGTCTCACTCAAGTTATATGCTGCATGGAACTCCACAGAAGAAGCATCCTTGTGATGCACCTTCCTCCACAATACAAAAAAGCCCAACAAGACTCTCTAACCATTGGGTGACAATCGCCCCGAGGTGAGTGAAAAATAATAAAGAATACTGCAGATAAAAAGAGATTTGGGCAACCTGAGCCCAACCTCTAACATCTCCTCATAGATGACAATGTCGCCAAATGAATCATCAGAGGCAGGCTCACCCATCTCAGCTCGGTGGCATAGCACAGTCGGAGGAATGTGGTAGGCGAAAACTATTCGCAAGATGTTAGCATCTAAATTTAAAGTGCTAGAGATGTTACTCACTTTAGACCCGTCATCATCGAGGGCCACTTTGCCTTTGTGCTTCTTGTTACGGGGACGTGAAGAGTTGTCTAACCCACTGCCTGGGAGGTCTTGAGGAATGTTGGTTAGAGAAGTTACATTCGAAGGAGTCAAATCGTCACTGAAAGTGGCGCCCAAACAGGCCAAACCAGCACTCTGCTTGCCCAAATGTGGGTGCACAGCACCTGGAAAGGTGTTTGGCCCCCTCCGCTAGCCCAAGTCGGGCAATCCAACACCTAAAGGGGCGCCCAACCCCCTATGCTCGCCCAAAATGGCCCCTTTTGGTGCCTGCGCTCTTTTTCGTCCTCCTAGCTCGCCTGGATCAATGCCTAAAGCATACCCATACTCGCCCAAGCATGCTCACCTCTCCTCTCTCACACCTGCATGCTCGCCCAAAGCCCCCTCTCCGTGAACATGTAACACCAGCGCACCAAAAGTTGGCTCGCCCAGCAGCCATTTTGTCTACCTCGTCTGGACTGCCCCTATTGTGCCTGTAGAAGACATCACGATCTTAGTCGCAAGAGCCTCGGATGCCTAGCACATGAACCGCTGCATTGCCCAGCGCCTCCACAGCAGTTATTGCGCTGCTCACCGATCCTGCACCCCCGCCTCTTCCTTGTGCACTAGCACCATCGATTGGAGCAACCCGCGAAGACTGCACGCCCGCGGCACAATTAGCACCCAAGGCCTGCTCGCCCAGCCCCAACTAGCTCGAGCTCGCCCATCCCCGCGCGTGCTGACAACGGCAGTGGCTAGTAGGGTTCTCGTCTCCGTCTCCACTTCGCCTCCTTCAAGCTCCACCACTCCGAAGGCCCCATGGCCACCTACCTCAGTATCGATCACCCCCATTCCCAAGGATATNAAAAAAAAAAACAAGTGTAGGGCGTATCGAGTTTCCTAGCAACACTTCATCGTGTTGGTACCAAAGCCTTCTCAGCCTCTGCAGCCCACTCTCTACCGACGAATAAAAAACGAGATTTTCAGCTATGGTAATTGGAGGATAATCTCATAAGCAACTTACCACCTCTCGTGGTAAAATAATACCACCCTCTATTTTGAGCAAGAGTCTCACTCAAGTTATATGCTGCATGGAACTCCACAGAAGAAGCATCCTTGTGATGCACCTTCCTCCACAATACAAAAAAGCCCAACAAGACTCTCTAACCATTGGGTGACAATCGCCCCGAGGTGAGTGAAAAATAATAAAGAATACTGCAGATAAAAAGAGATTTGGGCAACCTGAGCCCAACCTCTAACATCTCCTCATAGATGACAATGTCGCCAAATGAATCATCAGAGGCAGGCTCACCCATCTCAGCTCGGTGGCATAGCACAGTCGGAGGAATGTGGTAGGCGAAAACTATTCGCAAGATGTCAGCATCTAAATTTAAAGTGCTAGAGATGTTACTCACTTTAGACCCGTCATCATCGAGGGCCACTTTGCCTTTGTGCTTCTTGTTACGGGGACGTGAAGAGTTGTCTAACCCACTGCCTGGGAGGTCTTGAGGAATGTTGGTTAGAGAAGTTACATTCGAAGGAGTCAAATCGTCACTGAAAGTGGCGCCCAAACAGGCCAAACCAGCACTCTGCTTGCCCAAATGTGGGTGCACAGCACCTGGAAAGGTGTTTGGCCCCCTCAGCTAGCCCAAGTCGGGCAATCCAACACCTAAAGGGGCGCCCAACCCCCTATGCTCGCCCAAAATGGCCCCTTTTGGTGCCTGCGCTCTTTTTCGTCCTCCTTGCTCGCCTGGATCAATGCCTAAAGCATACCCATACTCGCCCAAGCATGCGCACCTCTCCTCTCTCACACCTGCATGCTCGCCCAAAGCCCCCTCTCCATGAACATGTAACACCAGCGCACCAAAAGTTGGCTCGCCCAGCAGCCATTTTGTCTACCTCGTCTGGACTGCCCCTATTGTGCCTGTAGAAGACATCACGATCTTAGTCGCAAGAGCCTCGGATGCCTAGCACATGAACCGCTGCATTGCCCAGCGCCTCCACAGCAGTTATTGCGCTGCTCACCGATCCTGCACCCCCGCCTCTTCCTTGTGCACTAGCACCATCGATTGGAGCAACCCGCGAAGACTGCACGCCCGCGGCACAATTAGCACCCAAGGCCTGCTCGCCCAGCCCCAACTAGCTCGAGCTCGCCCATCCCCGCGCGTGCTGACAACGGCAGTGGCTAGTAGGGTTCTCGTCTCCGTCTCCACTTCGCCTCCTTCAAGCTCCACCACTCCGAAGGCCCCATGGCCACCTACCTCAGTATCGATCACCCCCATTCCCAAGGATATCAATGGATTTTTGCACATCTCCCTCCTCAATCAATATTGCCCTCTTGGATGCTTCACTTAAAAAAATATCACCTGAATGTTCTTGGAAAGATTCAAGAAGAACACCTCCCTTCACCCTTTCAAGTTTCTAGTTTCTATGGAATGGGTAGAATCTGGGCTCTCAAGACTCTCAGAAATGAATGAAATGGGAGGAATGAAGAAGAAAGTTACAATTTATAACCTAGGGTTTTAAAATCTTCTTAGAGTAGCAAAAAAACCCAAAAGCCTCAAATTGCACCCTAGGGCTTTTCAAGAATCCAAAAAAGGAAGGGAATGAAAGAGTTTATATAGTCAATGGGGTCCTACAAGCAAAAGGAGTCTATTGGAAGTGATGGGGTCACCAATCAAGAGAAGTTTTCAAAAAAATCGGATTTAAAAAGGTGTGTACGTTATTTTGACAATAACTTTTGATTCGTAACTCCAAACGGGGCCCATAATATGTTAAATCAAAGCTCTCGAAGAGCTCTACAAGAACAATTGCCTTTGGCTATGAATGATGATGTAAAATTCCCAAAAAGGCCTAGAAGTATATGTTTTGACCTTCTGAAGTTTCTCCAATTTCGTCGTTCGGTCAAAAATTCAAACTCAACTGAATGCTCTCATTTCCAAGTTCCTTAAATGCAGGGCATTGGGGGGCAAATGATGGGTCAAGTCTGAGGGCCCAGCTCATATTATAAGCTTGATATAAACTAATGATCCAATCCCAAGAGATCTGACAAATCCAGTTCAAACGAAGTCCAAGCCAAACAAGCTGCGCCACCAAGGGAGCATCCAGGAGTCTCTCCCTCGTGGCCTGGAGAGAGTCAATCTTACCACATCCTTTTGACCAAGTCCTTTGGAGAGCACCATAACTTCCTTGCCAGTTGAGGAGATGAGAGGTCGCCAAGCTATTTAATTACCGTTAAAGTCACCCCAATCCGTTATGACTATTAAAACGGCTCCAATCCGTTATGACCGTCATACTAGCTATTCAATTATTACTCCAAGCAAGCCACTATAAATTGGACGCCCCACCAACACTTGGGGGGCATCAAACTCATTTTATCATAATTCTCTCATCCTCTCTCAAAGCTTGTAATCTTGTGTTCTCCCTCCACACCGGAGATAATAAAATTTCGACAACCCTTGTCATTCATAGTGGACGTAGGTCATATTGTCCGAACCACTATAAACCTTGTCTTCTCTCTCCCTCTACTTTACTGAATTTTATATTACTTAATTGACAGGTGGTGTGCAAATTAATTTTGTGCATTATCAATAGTCATTGAATGAATTAACAGATACTACTGCATTTCCTAAAACTTTTTGTTTTGTTTTGGTGTCTTTAATTGAATGGAATAAGGTCTTCAAAAATATGCACTGGGATGCTCTTCCTGTCCATCTCACTAAAGGAAAATGCTTTTGATCTCCCACTAAGACCCTTGATTCATCTTAGGCACCTACTTTTCGACTTTGAAAATTCACCAGTGGACCAGAAAAACTGAAAAAATATATATTGGTGACACTTTTGTCAATTTACTACACATCTTTTAAGAGAAAGTTTGCTCGACATACTTTAATCCATTTGTGTCAGGCTCATAAAAGATACATTAGTTTATGCCTAGTGTATTTATCTTCATACGCACTAAGTGGGTATTTGGTTTGACCGATAAAAAGTAGATAACACAAGTGGATTGGATTTATTTTGTCCAAGGGCCACATATTCTTAATTTGGATGAAGCATTTCAGATGGGATAATCTTTGCAAATGAAAAACTCGGCCAACTAGTACCTATATCCCACATGAACAGGATATTTTTAACCCAAAGTTTATGCGGGATTCAAATTCTGTCAATTGGATTGTGGTTGTAATTTACCGAAACACCCTCATACAACAAATTTACTAGTTTTTTACCCATTTCACCCCACTGGCCCCTCTCTCATCTCCACAAACAGCGCACCAGGTATGCTTCTCTGTCTCTCTCTCTCTCTCTCTCCCCCCCCCCATTTCCCTATCTCTCTCTCTTCCACCCCCCTAATTTTGAATCTATTACCAATATACCCCATTTATCAAACTTATTTACCGATCTACTGCCGTTTTCAACTTATTTACCAAACTACCGCTGTTTTAAAAGCGGATTTGACAAATCTGACTTCATGGGAAAAACGAATTTGACAAATCTGACTTCATTTGGAAAGCAGATTTGACAAATCAGACTTTATTTGGAAAGCGGATTTGACAAATCCGACTTCAATTGAAAAGCGGATTTGGTAAATCCGACTTTATAAGAAAAGCAGACATATCAAATCCGTCTATATACAGAAAGCGGACATATCAAATCCGCCTTTATATGGAAATCAAACTTACCAAGGTGTAAGCCTTTATATGTATAATTGTGTTGATCGCCAAAAGAGTATTTGACTATTTATTGAATATGTTTGGTCTCTCTGATTCTATATTCTTTGTGAATAAATTACTCACATTTATTAGTCGTTAAAAATCCATTAATAGATTTTATCTAAATTTATTAGTTATAACCCGTGCATGAAGGCACGATAAAATATAAAATTCGAGCATCCAAAAAATCGATCTCACTATATTAAATTTTTTTCAAAATATATTAATTACAAATTAATCAAATATTAAATAATTAAATATATGATAAAAATGAGTGATTTATTTTTTAGGGGGAAAATATATAAAGTCAAGAATTTCGGGTGGTATCCCAGTAAGAAAATTAGATGAAATATTAAAAAACGGATTTGATATGTCTGCTTTCTAAATAAAATCAAATTTGGTATGTTCACTTTCTCAATAAAATCAGATTTGTCAAATTCGCTTTTCAAGTGAAGTCAAATTTTTTAAATCCGCTTTCTCCATGAAGTCGGATTTGTCAAATTTGTTTTTAAAACAACAGTAGATTGATAAATAAGTTGAAAACGATAATAGATTAATAAATAAGTTTGATAAATGGGGTAGATCGGTAATAAATTCCCCTAATTTCTCACTCTTTCCGGCCATGGGACCTTTTTTTCAGTTTAATTTTTTTTCACAAACCAAAACAGTAGTGTTCTCTCTCTCTCTATCTCTCAATGTGTGTAATTTATCGGCGATGGAGGTTTTCCGGTGAAGGGATTTTTGTTACTGTTTTTATTAAAGTTAAGGTAAATATTTTTACTTTTTGTCTCTCTATCTCTCCCTCCATCTTCTCTCTCTATCTCTCTACACCCTATTTCTCTCACCCGAAACCCTATCAAGCCATCGCTCTCACAACACAAACACCCAACAAACCCACCTTCGCAGCCATTGAACTCAACCAACCGGAGATACCTCCACTAATCATAGCAAATCGTCTGCGGCTCTGTCACTTATTCTTCAGATCTTCATTCAAACCCAAATGGTGGAGTACCTTCTGATAACAACGAGATCGAGTGTGTCTATCAGAAACCTCATGACCGATGACTCTCTCTCTCCCCCTTTGCATCTCTGGTTCTTCGTGTCCGTCTCTAGTTCTTCGTCTCCCTCTCACACTTTTCTGTG